GCTTTTTTCTTTTTGCTTATATGGTGCTGAGGAATCGAACCCAGGGCCTCAGGCATGCAAGGCAAGCGCTCTACCACTGAGCCACCTTCCCAGCCCAAGGAAACCATTTTTAAAGAATTTGAACTGTTCCAGTAACACTAAGAGCTAACATAGCAAACCCTTGAGTTTGGAATACCATCATGTGGGGGAATGATTCAAAAAGTAGTACTGGGATGGGGGATGGCAGTGCAAGAGGTCACCTAGTCCTTGCTGGTACTTCCCTGACTGGAATCAACCTTGGTGATTTCTAATCCACCCCAAAGGACTTAAAGACCAAACTGAGCTTACCAGATTGCTTTAGGGTAAATATGTTCACAATTGGACAAAAGAAGTTTAAATCCAAGACTTGAGTGATTATAATCTTTTTTTTTTTTGTCAGTTGTGGGGCTTGAACTCTGGGCCTGGAGACTGTTCCTGAGCTCTTTAGCTCAAAGGAACTGCTCTACCGCTTGAACCACAGCATCACTTTCTATAATCTTTTTTTATTGTCCTAAATTTGTTAGAGGTCCCTCTCTCTTTGTTTCCCTCTCCCCTTTCTCCTTCTCTCTCCCTCTTCCCCTTTCCTCCCCCACCTCCCTAAGCTAGAGATCCTATGCTTTCTGAACTATCTAGCCTTGGATGAAGACTTACAATTAAAACAACGTGTAGCCAGGCACTAAAACCAGCCCAGGCAGTAAAGTCTGTGAGGCTCTTATCTCCAAATGACTCCCCAAAAAAGCCAGAAGTGGCCCTGTAGCTCCAAGTGGTAGAGCTCTAGCTTTGAACATAAGGGCTCAGGGACAGTGCCCAGACCCTGAGTTCAAGCCCCATGAACAACAACAAAAAATTTTTTTTTGTCTAAAACTAGTTTCCATGTGATTATTTAGCTCCTTCTGGTTTGGCCAGAGACCACAGTGCTCACCTGCTTTCACCAGCCTCTTCTGCACCAAGAAGCCCAGCATATCCCACAAAAGTCCTGGAATTTAAGAAGGATCTGAAACATCGTGTGTTTCCAGGTATTCCTGTTTTGCTTTGTTTATCTGAGATAGAGTCTCAATACATAACCCAGTCCTGACTCAGACTCAGTTATTTCCTTTTGATTTCAGGCGAACAGATGATTTGTTTTGTAAAATGAAGTAGGAAACTATGAAATTCACAGTTCCAGGGGTAAATAGCTCTTGCCAAACATGTAAAGGCCCTGGGTTTGATTCCCCAAAACCTCAAAAAAAAAACAAGCACAAAATAAGAAACTTGGGAGGAGTTGGTGTGAGTTAATCCAAGTGTTTCTTCTTAAGGAAGAACAAATATAGAACTTTTCAGACATCATGAGCCTGAAATAATATACATTAATATTACATTATATATTACATCATGTAACATATTATATAGAATATACATACTATATATGATTACACAACTATATACAATATAATGATATATACTATATAATACAATGTAATAATATACAATATTTATTATATATAGTTATAGGATTAATACTATGTAAATATATGTCAATATGATAGTAAAACAATGTATCTTATATACAATATATTAATGTATCACATTCTGTCATGTAGTTCTAGTATATAGAATATATGTGCTATATATTCTACATTACGCATTATATATGTTTCTTATCTTTCTGTCGTCACTAAACTTACATATGCTTCCTGGTTTCCAGTCCCATATAGTTTTCATTCTCCAAATCTGAGAGCGCTAGCATTCCTTACGTCTATACCATAAGAACTGTTTCCTGGTTTTCAGAAAGAGCCACAGAGTCCTCTGAACTGCTAAAGCAGAGTTTCTCCGCCTCCACACTATTGTCATAATTCTTTGTCAGGGAGTGGTGAGTGCCAGGTAATTGTAGGCTGTTGGCAGCATTCCTGGCCTCTGCCCAGTAGATACTAATACCATCTCTCTAGTTATAACAATAAAAAACTTGCCAGTTTGTCAGAGGTCCCCTAGGTAGGGGGATAAATTGCTGATCATTAAAAATTTGCTGTGCTAAAGGAGAAGTTTTAGTTTCCTCCAAAGCATCAGTGTCCCAGAAAGGCCTGGGAAGGAAGCAGTGACTTCCTGTAAGTCCTGGAGCATCTGGGCTTGAGGAAAAGATTTTGTGAAGATCCCTCTCAGATAGCTTTCTCCAGGTTAGAGCTGGAATTCCTCCTGTAGCTTTGGGCTATGCCAAGAGGATGCTGCCTTTGTTGTTTTGTTTTTTTTTTGGTCTGTTGTGGGGCTTGAACTCTGGACCTGGGCGTTTTGTCCCTCAGCTCTTCAACTCAAGGCTAACACTCTACCACTGAGCCACAGTGCCACATCCAGTTTTCTGAGTGGTTTATTGGAGATAAGAGTCTCATGGCCTTTCCTGCCTAGGCTGGCCTTGAACCTCGATATTCAGATCTCAGCCTCCTGCTGGGATGTTGCCTTTTTTTTTTTTAAATTGGTTGTGGGGTCTGAACTATGGGCCTGGGCGCTGTCCCTCAGCTCTTCAGCTCAAGGCTAGCAGTCTACCACTTGAGCCACAGCGCCACTTCTGGCTTTTTCTGCTTATGTGGTGCTGAGGAATTGAACCCAGGGCCTCATGCATGCAAGGCAAGCACTCAACCACTGAGCCAACTTTCCAGCGCTGGGATACTGACTTTGCAGCAAGGAAACTCATAGTTTTGTGGCCACAACAATCTGTATTTAACTATGTTTTATGCTTTTGTCAGTCTTAGTAACTTTAGTTCTTTGAATTTTCAGTGACACAGGAAGAGATGCAATTTCAACCAGAATCTCTCTGTCGGCAGTTATTCTCAGATCATGAAGGACTGGAGCAATTCATGAAGACACAGATCTATCCTTGTTCTCAGGGGGTTGTGATATTTTCTAGAAGCTGGGCTAGCGATATTGGTTTAAGGAAAGAGGAGAATGTCCTGTGTGATGCACTCTTGATAGCCGTTAACAGCCCCTTGGTACTCTATACCATCATAAAAGACCCTAGCTGGATGGGAGGTCTTCAATATGCCAAAGACACTGCCCTGCAGTTAAAGCAGAAACTGCAAACTGAGGGTGGCTATACAGGGAAGGTGTGCATCATTCCAAGGCTGACACCTCTGACCAGCTGGCCAGATGGACCTTGTGAATTCCCTATGTACTACCCCCAGTCCTACAGGCTCTCCAGTGAAGAAGTGGAGGACATCTTGCAGGCCCTTGTGGTCGTCTCCTTCTGCTCTACATCTCTTCTGAGTGACTGCCTGGGCTGTGAGTACTTCGACCTGCTTGTAACAGAGCAGTGTGAGTTGCTTTCCCAGAGCCTTCATGAAACTTCGGAATTGTTCATCCACTGCTTTCCAGGAACCCGGAAGACAGCCCTGGCCATGAAGATCATGGGAAAAATTAAAGACTTCTTCCATTGCAAACCAAAAGAGATCCTCTATGTTTGTGAAAGTGACTCCCTCAAGGGTTTGGTGAGGTGAGAGTTTTACTAAACTAAAAACAAAAACATACTTAATCTTTACAACAGTGCCACAAAAGTAATTTGTATTTTCCATTTACTTTAAATCAGTTTAAAATTAGGAGGGGCTAAGCACTCATGGCTCAGGCCTGCAATCCTAGCTACTCAGGAGGCTGAGCTCTAACGATTACAATTTGAAGCTAGCTAGCCCAAACAAGAAAGTCCATCTGACTAGTATCTCCAATTAACCAGCAAAAAGCCAGAAGTAGAGCTGTGGCTAAGGGACAGTGCCCAGGCCCTGAGTTCAAGCCCCAGTCTCGGTAAAAATAAATAAGTAAATTTGGCAATGCCTCTTTGTTGAGTAAATTTAAGCACCCGAGCCAAAATAAATGGTTCTAAATGGCCAGGTAGTTTAATTATAAGTGGATAATTTATACTGTTCAAGTTTTAAAATGTTATAAATAAACTTAGTATGCATAACTTTACATTTGTTGACCTTGAAATGTTTTCCCCACAATCCGTGGTCTTAAATCTAAGAAAAGTAGAAATGAATCCTTTTTGCTTTGAAGATACTTTTTTGCCTGATATTTAATGTTTTAAAATTGTAAGATTAATTACTTATGACTCAAATATAGAAATCATTGATATTGTTTATAAAATATTTTGATCCATTTGACTTACTTTACACTGATAATTTTAGAAAGCAGGCAGAATTTATTCTGATTAAAATCTCGGGGCTGGGAAGGTGGCTCAGTGGTAGAGCACTTGCCTTGCATGCATGAGGCCCTGGGTTCGATTCCTCAGCACCACATAAGCAAAAAGAAAAAAGCTGGAAGTGGCGCTGTAGCTCAAGTGGTAGAGTGCTAGCCTTGAGCTGAAGAGCTGAGGGACAGTGCCCAGGCCCAGAGTTCATGCCCCACGACTGCCCCCCCCCCAAAAAAAAAGACTAGTATTTTGCCACTCAAGCCACAGCTTTGCTTTCAGCTTTCTAGCAGTTAGTTGGAAATAGGAATCTCACAGACTTTCCTACCCAGGTTGGCTTCTAGCTATAATCCTTAAATCTCAGTTTACTGAGTAGTGAGGATTACTGCTATGAGCAACCAGCCCAGGGTTGATTCCAGTTATCTTTTTTTAAAACTTTAACCTGTTTTTTTAAAAATTTTAAATTGTTATTATAAAGGTGGTATATAGAGTGGTTACAGTTTCCAGGTATACTTTGTTGTTGTTGTTGTTGGTAGTAGGACCTGAACTCTGGGCCTGGGCGCTGTCCCTCAGCAATTCAGCTCAAGGCTAGTGCACTACCACTTGAGCCATGGTGCCACTTCTGGCTTTTTCTGCTTATCTGGTGCTGAGGAATTGAACTCAGGACCTCATGCATGCAAGGCAAGCACTCTACCACTGAACCACCTTCCCAGCCCTCCAGGTATATTTTTGAGCATCATTCATATTTAAACACTGTGTTACATTTCGTGTTAGCGGAAAAAACCTACTGAAGACCTTACCATTAAAAATTATTTAAGGTTCATGCATATGACCCTAGGTACTCAGGAGGCTGAGATCTGAAGATTGAAGTTCAAAGCCAGCCTAGGCAGGAAAGTCTGTGAGACTCTTATCTCCAATTAACTATCAAAAAAGTCAGAAGTGGAGCTATAGCTCAAGTGGTAGAATACTAGCTGTTAAGAAAAGTGTTCAGGGACAGTGCCGAGGATCTAACTGAATTTAAGTCCCAGGACTAGTGCTCATGTGCACACAGACATACACACACACACACCTGTATGTGTGTGTGTGTGTGTGTGTGTGTGTGTATGTTGTGTGTGTTATAATAAAGACAAGTTTATTTTAGGCTAGAAGTAGAGCAGCAACTACTTGTCAGTGAAAGAGACCTTTAGGCACACTCCTAATAAACTAGTACAAGCCAGGTACTAGTGACTGATGCCTATAACCTTAGCTAATCTGGAGGCTAACTTCTGGAGATCAAGGTTTGAAGTCAGCCCAGGCAGAAAGGGTTCTCTAGACTCTCCAAAATAGCCTGCAGAAAAGCAGAGCTGGAGGCATGGCTCAAGTGGTAGAATATACCAGCTTACTAAACATGAGGCCCTAAATTCAAGCCCCAGTATAAGAAGAAAGAAAGAAGGGAAGAAAGAAAGAAAGAAAGAAAAGAAGAAAGAAAGAAAGAAAGAGAAAGAGAGAGAGAGAGAGAAAGAAAGGGGGAGGGAGGAAGCGAGGAAGGAAGGAAGAAAGAAAGAAAGAAAGAAAGAAGAAGGAAGGAAGGAAGGAAGGAAGGGACCAGTAGAAAACTGGGTATGGTGGCACACATATTTGTAATCTCAATACTCAAGAGACTGGGAGGGTTTAAAGTCTGAGGCCATCTTGAGCTACATATTGAGACACCCTCCTGCCCCCCCCCCACACACAAGAAGAAAATAGAATGAGGAAGACTTTCTAAGTAAAAAACCCCAGCAAATTCAAAGACATGTAGACACTACAGACCAGAATGGCAGGTCTGGGGGTGGGTATAAGGCAGATAGTGATATTGGAAATGAGGGAGATATTAGATTCCAGAGGATCTTGTAAATTGTGCTAAGGGCTATATTTGCCATTAGGTTTTACAGATTTTTTTTAAACTGTCAGTTGAAAGGCTAATTTGACAAATACCTATTGAACCTCTAGTATGAGGGGAGATGCAGAGATGGCTAAGAATCAGAGCATTTTTTCAAGAGCCTGCACAGTTCAAACTGGAGGAAGGCAAAAATAGTTCAGAATTAAAGCACAGAAATAACTCATGTAAAATCAGGGAATCTTTAGGAACTTGTGCTCATCCTTGAATTCAAATTAGAGAAGACAAGCAACTGGTTTGTATTAAAAAGCAAGGGAAGAAATAGAATTTGTTTTAGAAGAAATTTGAATTCCTTCATAAAGATTGTGATATAAGCTGGGCACTAGTAGCTTAGACCTGTATTCCTAATTACTCAGAAGGAAGAGATCTGAGAGTTGTGGTTCAAAGCCAGGCCAGGCAGAAAAGTCCCTGTGAGACTTTTATCTCCAATTAATCACTCAAAAACTGGAAGTGGAGCTGTGGCTCAAAGTGGTAGGGCACTAGCCTTGAGCAAAAAAAACCTCAGGGACAGTGCCCAGACTCTGAGTTCAAGCCCCACACTGACCAAAAAAATATTGTGGTATACCTCTAGGTGACTGCTTTCCAGATCTGTAAAAGAACAGAAAGTTTGGGGGGCTGGGAAGGTGGCTCAGTGGTAGAATGCTTACCTTGCATGTATGAGGCCCTGGGTTCGATTCCTCAGCACCACATAAGCAGATAAATCCAGAAGTGGCACCGTGGCTCAAGTGGTAGAGTGCTAGCCTTGAGCTGAAGAGCTGAGGGACAGCACCCAGGCCCAGAATTCAGGCCTGTGACTGAGAAAAAAAAATCACTTGTGAGCTTTTGTTTAGCAGTAAGGGTCTTGTCTTCAAGGATTGTCAAGTAGCAGAAATAGATACTAATAGAGATAATAAAGTCTCCTACCTCCTTTGTAATAATGAAAGTTTCACATACAGATTTAAGTAAATACTTCATAAAGATAGGGTATAAGATTCTGCATTCTGTCAAGTGACTTGTCAATGTAGCTGTTTTGTGGTGTTGACACTAGTAAGTTGATGAATGCACCTGCAAAGGGGAAATTAACCTCTGATTCCAATCCAATCTTTTTCTTTTTCTTTTGTTGGTCGTGGGGCTTGAACTCGGGGCCTGGGCACTGTCCCTCAGCTCTTCAGCTCAAGGCGAGCTCTCTACCACTTGTGCCACAACACTACTTCCGGTTTTCTGAGTGGTTTATTAGAGATGAGAGTCTCACGGAGTTTCCTGTCCGGGTTGTCTTTGAACTGTGATCTTCAGATCTCAGCCTCTTGAGAAGTTAGGATTACCAGCGTGTGCCACTGGCACCTGGCCCCAATTCAGTCTTCTGATTCCAATTCCAGTGCTACTGATGCCTTTGTTTTTATGCCTGAAAACCCTGTTTTCTCTTTCTTCCTCATAGCCAACAAACCCCCTTCCGTGCTGTGACCCGGAACGTGTTCATGCAAGGAGATTTCTCAAGGATTAAGCACATAGTGATGGATGAGACAGAGAATTTCTGCAGTAAATATGGAAATTGGTACCTGAAGGCCAGGAGCATCACTCACCCTAAGGAGAAGGGGGATGGAAGTGAAAACCCTCAGCACAGGATCCTCTGGCTTTTTCTAGACCCTTTCCAAGTCCATCATGCAGAAGTCAATGGCCTCCCACCTCCTTCTGCTCGATTTCCTCGGAGAACAATCACCAATGGGATCCACTGTGCTTGGGAAATAGCAATGGTCATGAAGGAAGAAATGGAAAGGATCAGAGAAAACCCTCTCTCCCATGTGTCTCCAGACAGTGTGGCATTGTTCCAGGAAGCTGTCTATGAGGAAGCCATGTGTGCCCAGGCTCCACCTGGGGTGTATGAAATCAAGACCCAAATGACCACAGAACAAATAGCAAAGTATGTGGCAGAAAAGTGTCACAGCTTGTTCCAATGGGGCTATCTGCCCAAGGATATAGCAGTCCTATACAGGAGACCGGAGGAAAGAGGGCGCTACGAGCCTGTGCTCCTAAGAGAAATGAACTTAATTCACACCCAAGAAGCAACAGAGGTGGTGTTCAGCAGGGCTGCAGGTGTTCAGGACAATCGCATTGTTTTAGACAGTGTTCAGCAGTTCTCAGGCCTTCAAAGGAATATTGTGTTTGGGCTTAGTTCAGAAGGTGCCCAGCCAGAGGAATTTCAAAAGCTCTGCTTTGCTTCAAGAGCCATTAGCCATCTCTATCTGCTCTATGAAAAGAGGAAAGCCTTCTGAAAATGATTATAAAAAACATGGGAGTCTCTCTGCCTATATAGGTGTCAGCTACTCCTTTTTGCAAACAAGAAAATCAAGGTACATCTGTGAGGCTCTGAACCACAGAGCTGTTTCTTGAGGCTCAGCCTTCACTTATATTGCAGTTGCCCTGTTCCTTTCCCAGTCCATCTTTCTTCTCTGCACAATCACAACACATGTGTCACTGGTCTCATGCTGCCTCCTCCAGCTACATCCAGCTTTTATCCTGCCATCTGAAGGGGTTATCCTCAAATAGCTGCTTTATGAAATCTTCTGCTCAGATACTTCCAGTGAGTAGTCCTCACAGCCTTCAAATCACATCAGTTCCTCAAATGTTCCATCATGCATCCTGATTTATTCTCCTACCTATGTCCTGGATTGTACCTCTGGTCCCCCAGTGTTTCCAATACGCTACAGACTCATTGGCCCATTTTGTGGCAGGATGCCCTCCATGACAGTTATGCTGATTGGGTGTTTTACTGACATCTCCATATTGACTGTGGGCTTTAAGTTTACATGTTCAAATTTTGATTTATTCATTCCACTAAATCTAAATCAGTCTCTTGGTGACAGTACTATGCCAGCTAAGCTCACAAAAGACTAACATATGATGGAAAAATGCCACTCTGTTAAATTATGATGAGGATTGTAGGGACCAATAGGCTTTTGCTAATCTGAGCATTCAACAAAGGCATAGAACACTAGACTCTGTGAGCAGAGCTTTGCTCTAAGGGGAGCTGAGCTAGAGGGTAAGTCTAAACCTATAGCTGCGGGCTGGGAAGGTGGCTCAGTGGTAGAGCACTTGCCTTGCATGCCTGAGGCCCTGGGTTCGATTTCTCAGCACCGCATAAGCAAAAAGAAAAAAGCCGGAAGTGGTGCTGTGGCTCAAGTGGTAGAGCACTAGCCTTGAGCTGAAGAGCTGAGGGACAGCGCCCAGGCCGAGTACAAGCCCCACGACTGGACCCCCCCTCAAAAAATATGGATAAACCTATGGCTGCGGTCCTGGACATGGACTAAACAGAAACAACTCTCATCTACCCCCTGCTTCTCCAAATACTTTGCCATCTCTTCTCTCTCCTTTCCCCTTCTACATAGCCTTAATATATTGGGTAAAATAATTTGTTTAATAAAGTAACTAAGATTGCTGGGTTCTGGTGCTATGCCTATAATCCTAGCTACTCAGGACACTGCTGAGGATTTCAGATCAAAGTCAGCCCCTTCAGGAAAGTCCCTGCAACCCTCATCCCAAATTAACCACCAGAAAAGCCAGAAGTGGAACTGAGGCTCAAGGAGTAGAAAACTAGCCTTGAGTAAAAAAGCTAAGGGACAGCACTCAGATCCCGAGTTCAAGCCCCAATACTGGCACAAAAATAAAATAAATAAGATAAACAAGCATTGCCCATGATAAAAGTGTTTAGAATGATGAAAAGGAGGGTAACTATTATATAAGGTTGGGAAATGGAGAAAGGGGGAAAAGTTCTTAAATCTTCTCAATATTCAAACTTAGCATTTTTTGCCTTTTTGAGTGTTTATTTCTATGCTTCATTCATAGAAGAATACTTTCACATAGTTACAATCAAGTTGTATAATCACCACTATAAATATTTAACTTTTTTGAGAGGTAAGACTATAGATTGCATTATTGCTCATCTCTTCCAATGTCTATGCCCTTCATAGTGCCTTACATGAGAGCTGTAGATACTTTCCTACACCTGGCATGTGGGCTTGGCCACGTGATCTTATTTAGCCAAGGAAATGTTCGTATTTTGCAATGTGCACAGAGGCTATGTATTTGATCTCTTAGGTTTCCACTACCTCCGTACAAAGAACATGCCCTCCATGGCCTATTAATCATTGAGGAATGAGAGACATGGAAACTTAACTCATAGGCTAGAGCCAAGCTCAACCAAGTCCAACTAGATCAACCAAAACCCAGCTGACTTGAAAACACATAATTGAGAAATAAACATTTGTCTTATGACTGAGTTTTTAAGGTTACTTGTTATATAGCAGTAGCTGACTAATGCCAGTACTTCTCCATGTGATAGCATGTCTTCAAAAGCATCATTTGTGTGTTCACGTGTGTGTGCATGCATGCTCACATTGCACACTGCTCATTGGACTTAAACTTACAGTCTGGGCACTGTCCCTGAGAATTTTTTGCTCAAGGCTAGCACTCTACCACTTGAGCCACAGCTGTACATCCAGAATTTTGGTCGTTAATTGGAAATAAGAGTCTTGTGAAGTTTCCTGCTTGGGCTAGCTTTGAACTTCAATTCTCAGATCTCAGCTGCCTGAGTAGCTAGGATTACAGGTGTGAGCCTCCAGGGCTCACCTGAGAGAATCATTTTCAATGGTCATCCTAACACATCCTAAATAGATCATGACATTTTAATTGAAGGATTGACTCCCACCCTAGTTTCCCAGGTGCATATAGATGCCTGGCAACCCACCAAACATAAGTGCAAACTGCCTAGCTCCAGCAGGCCTATCTAAGCCTGGTTGTAAACATTCCGTCATGGGCCCAGCCAAAAAGCCCTCCACCTCCCCTTGACCTAGTGGCTTTTTCATTATCCTCTGCCTCTTTGCTCAGATCTCATAAAACCCAGCTCCTGTCCCAACTCTGCACATAGTCTCTAAGCCTGCAGAAAAGCTGTGTCCCTCACTGCTCTATCTCAATAAACAGTCCTTGCCTGTGGAAGATCGAGTCCAGCCTGTTTCCTTCCTTTCTTCTCCGTAATTACTCTTTTCTTGTATAACTAGCAATGTCATACTATTAAAACTAAACCAGCACATTAGTATGCTACATTTTTTCTGCTGTAGTTATTAATCCTCAGAAATGGATTACTGGATCAAAAAGGTGGCCTGAAGGAAGCAGAAACTCATTTAAATTGGTTCTGTTGCAGACTATACAGAAAACCCAATCACTGCACTTGACAACGTATAGACTTGTTCTTGCCTTAAGGAAGAAAATGAAATGTAGGCATCAGCTTCTTATGACAAAAAAATTAAACATTTGTTTCTCAGAAATAGCTGACTTTGTAAGGGATCTCACAGAATAAAACTGAGGCTCATTACCCTAACCCAAGATCTTAGAACTTGGAGAATTATTGATGGCAATATGAGTTATGTAATCTTGACACTTTGATCTGTTTCAAGGGAAAAAAGTATCCTTGAAGTAGCTTTAGGGTATTGTTTCAGAGAAAAGAAAAGATACCCTTAGACTATGAACAGGACTTAAAAAAAAGAGAGAGAAACTCTGGCACGGAGAAACCCACTCAAGAAGAGGGGAATTAGGTACCAGTGGCTCAACTCTGTAATCTTAGCTACTCAGGAGGCTTGAAGTTTGAAGCTAGCCCAGCCAGAAAAGTACATAAGACTCTGTCTCCAATTAACCAGCTACAAAGCTGAATGAGAGATGTCATACAAGTGGTAGAGCATCAGCTGGCAGAAAAAACATTGAGTGAGAGTGAGAGGCCCTGAGGTCAAGCCCTAGTACACCCCCCCCCACACACACACAGAGAAGAGTGTGTGCAGATGAGCTAGCTTTGTGACACTGAGCTGCCCTACCATCTTCAAGATGCACTTGTACTTCATTTTTACTGACTCATTTCCCCTGTTAATCCATTGGCACAGATACTTCTGCTGAGTCGTAATCCTAGAGTACACCCCATTCTGTATCCTGTTTGGCATCTTTTCAACTCTGAGGGCTCCCGTATGGCAGGTGGAGCACTTTCCAGGTTTGCAGCCTAGAGAGAGATGGACTGACTGGCCTTTGAGTAGGGATGGGTGCTTGACAGATCAACAGAGCTTCTTAAATCCCAGATGCTTTCCTTGGCAGCTTCTTCATGGCTCCAGGAGAGGAAGAGGGTGATGGTGGTGACTTGATGGGTGGGCAAAAGAAGAAACAAAGTCCATAAAGCGTGAGTAACACAGAGCAGCAACATTTCAGGGGACTCAGCCACAGAGTGGTGGTGTGTCACTGTGCAAAGTTAACAGGGATGAAAGGCATGGCAATGACCAGCAGGGCTGTCAAAGAAATCTCCGCTTAGGGGCTGGGAAGGTGGCTCAGTGGTAGAGCGCTTGCCTTGCATGCCTGAGGCCCTGGGTTCGATTCCTTAGCAACACATAAACAAAAAGAAAAAAGCCGGAAGTGGCGCTATGGTTCAAGTGGTAGAGTGCTAGCCTTGCGCTGAAGAGCTGAGGGACAATGCCCAGGCCCAGAGTTCAGGCCCCATGACCAGACCCCCCCCCCAGAAAAAAGAAATCTCCGCTTATCAGAAGATACTAAAGGATGAGAGATGATGCCCTCCCCAAGTGTGCCATTTGGTATTATTTTGAGCTAAAAGCAATTGAAGAACAGCAGATATGAGAAAGACATTCTAATGATTTTTCTTCCTCAAGACAAAGGAGGAAAACTCTCATTCTTTGCACACCCGGGCAAAACCTATATGCTTTTCTTTTGTTAATTGGTCATATGTCAGGCTCAGCCAAAAACACTTAAGAGGATAGAAGTAAATTTTTGCTTCTCCTACTGTATTTAGTAAGAGGATGGAATTCTAAAGGGTTGGGTTACTTCTCTTGCTCTGGAGCTTGTAAGCGGGATCCTGGAAGAACCCACAAAAACTAAAGTAAGAATTCTGACAGCTCTCTCAGATCCTTGTCTGCAGTGCCTGGTAAAGGGAAGAAGGCAAAAAAGAAATCCTAAATTCAGATTGGTAGGAAAAATAATGTAAAACTTAGTTCTTTTGCACAGGTTTTTGTTTGTCTGTTATATGTGTTGGTACTGGGACTTGAACTCAGGGCCTCATGCTCTCTTTTGGCTTTTCCAGTTGGTGTTCTATCATTTGAGCCACACTTCCAATCCAACATTTTCCTAGTTCGTTGGAGCTGGAATCTTGAAGACTTCTCTGACCAGGCTGGCTTTGAACTTCAATCCTCCAGGTCCCTAGCCTTTTTCTTGAGTAGCTAGAATTACAGCTATAAGCATCTGGCTTGCTTCATGAGTCATATGAATTTATTCTGGGTATGATTCCTGCTTCCCAGCAGGCCTTGATTTTCTTCTCTGTCTTCGATAATAAGGAAGAAAAGTAGGAGACCTTTTTTTTTCATCTTGTTTTATGTCTTTAGAGTTTGGCTTTGTGATCATTGAACAATTCTCTCTAGTCTCTGCCAGTGAATGGGTTGTGAAGTGTTGGCTTTCATGGGTGGCTATCAAAGAGGCTGGAAACACCAGACAAAGTGACAAATATGAGTCCAGTCCATACAGGGATTTGTGGTCTCCATCTTTGTTGCTTGGTAAGTGCTGGCAAACCTAATTCTCATATTGCCCATCTGATGTCACGGGTTAGTGCTCTGCGATTGGTCGCATCTTGCATTCCCAGGGCCACCAGCAGACTTTGTCTTCATGAACACTATTATGATTTCTTGTGACAACAAGGGTCTTTGCTAATTTTGAGAGTGAACTTCTTGGATCTTGGGAGGGCTACATCTTTTGAATCCTTTTGGGGGATACTTCTGGCGTCTATGGCTCAGCTAAGGAAGGCTTACTGCCAAGGCAGAGGATTTAGCCAAACTAAACAGGCTTACAGAGTAATACAAATGGCCCAACAGAAACTTGGTTAGCAGTGTGTTGAGGTCTACAGTGGGCATCTGGTCCCAATGCAATTCTGTTTCTCACCCCAAAGCCCAGGATTGGACCTGAGGGCACACAACCCCAGGCAGGTGGAAAGGTCCCAGAGCCTTTGGCTGTGGGATTGAGAAGGAAATGGAGGCTCAAATCTTTGTCCCGACTCCCCCCGCAAAAAAAAAAAAAACCAAAAAAAACAAACCAAACCAAACAAAACAAAAATCCCACTACTTCCTGGGCCAGTATGGAAGGAACTCAGCTGGGGATCTGAGCCGGAGATAGCCAGGCCTCGAGCTAGGCCTTGGAGTTGGTCCTGGAGGGTGGGGCTGGCAGGTGTTAGAGAGAAGAGAAAAGTGAGAATCCAATCTGTCCCAACTGGGAGCTTCCCCAGGGCCTGGGGAAGTCATTCATTTTTCTCTAAATAATCCTTGTTCGTTGTCTTACTGTAATTTGGACGAGTCGTTAGATAGCCTGGGTAATGGATAATAGATGCTGGAGAGAGAAAGCGTAAGGATAGACAGCTGAGCCAGAGTAGGAGGGAAAAGAGAAAGACAAGAGGGGAGAGGCAGCAAAAGAGAACTAGGACATACCAGGAGCTATCAGAAGTTTGGTGCTTCTGGACACTTTTTTTAGGGGGGAGAGGAAGGGGGCTGGACACTTTTAGGGGTTAGGAGCTGAGGTTTGAACACATGGTTTCTGGCTTGCTAGGGTAAGCACTTTTTCCTGCCACCCCAACCTTTTTTTTGCCCTTTAGTTATTTTTGTTAGATAGGATTGGCTTCGGAGGGGGATTCACCTACCTAAATAGCCTCCCCCATATCTGGGGTAACAGGTGCATCACCACACAAGCCAGGCTTATTGGTTGAGATTGGTCCTGCGCTTTCTTTGCCCGGATGGCCTTATACCTAGATCTAGGCGCGCACAAGGCTAGGATTACAGGTGTATCACCCAGTCCCGCCCCTGGAGGGAAGGATCCCCTCTCTTTCCCTCCCCACCCCCCCCCTTGGTTTAAGAGACCTTCTGATTGGCTGGTTTGTCTCGGCGGAAAGCTGGTGGGTGGAGCCAGCCATTGGAATATCAGGATCCGTCCCCAAGTCTTCCCGCAAACTGCTGGAGGACCTCGACTCATCTGGAGCTGGAGAGGGTGAGTAAGGGGAGGGAGGATGGGATCTTGGCTTCTTGTCGGGGTTGTTTAGAACTCCCGCCGTTTTTCAGACTTCCAAGATCTAGTCCACCAGATCCCCGACCCCGGAAGATGGCAGCGGACAGCCTGGGACCAGAGCAGTAAACCAGGGAAATCCTCTGCATTGGGGCGGGGTGGGGGGGAGAGTTGGAGGGTGGAGGGGAGGGGAGGCAGCTAGTTCGTTCTCCCTCAGTGCCAGATTCCCTAACAGGAGGGTGGAGAAGGGGACTCAGGGTTTGGGGGCCAGCCTGACTCGTGCACCTGTTTCCTCCCGGGCCCTGATGGAGTCCCTGGCCCAGCCAGCACAGGTTTCTTCCGGGAGGCAGAGCCAGCGAGGCGCGAAACCCTCGGATCCCAGGCTAGCCAAGGTCAAGTCTTAGATGCAGAGCGTTGGAAAGCCGTGGAGTCGAGGAACAACTTCTGCAGCTTGTAAAATTAAGATCCCTTCATCTGGGAGCATTTTAAGAGTCAGCATTGGAATTGCCATTTCCCCTATCAGAAGTTTATTAAGTTGCTGCTGGGGTGCTGAAAGTCAAGACTTAGGAATGCTATTTAAAAGGGGCATGAGCTTGGAGCGTTCCCTGCCAAACAAGCCTACAAAGTGTAGGAAGTGAACGCTCTGGAGAAGGGCGCTGAGGTTGTGGTTTCAGCTTTCTAGCATGTTACTTGGCTAGCTCTTTAGTTCCCCTTTTGGGCGCTGTCCCTGAGTCGCTTTATGGTTAAGGCTAGAGCTCTACTACTTGTGCCACAGAGCCATTTCCACCTTTTTTTTTTTTTTTTTGAGTAGTTTATTGGAGATAAAGGTCTCAGGGGAACTTTTCTGCCCAAGAGGGCCTGGAACCGCAATCCTCAGATCTCAACCTCCTGACTAACTGGGATAACAAGAGTGAGCCACCAGCGTCTGACTTTCAGTTTCCTTTCTGTTCAGTTATGAGGGTAGCCATTCACCAACGGTCCCAATTTTCCTAAGACACAAAGAGGTTAATAGCCACTGTGTCACACAGCGAAGAAGTGACCGAGCTGGGATTTGAATTAGGCATTTCAAAGTCTCAGTTTCTGAATACTTCAGCATCTCTATGTGTATCTTTCTGCTTATTAGGTTTTTTTTTTCTGCCTATTAGGGCTGATTTTGGTGGAAGAAGATAATAGGTACTACTTCATTGTGGAAGCCAGATATACACAGGAAAGTTTTGAGAAAATTATCCTGTGAACCCAGCAGAACCAAGGGCTTTTATTGTTAAAATTCTTTGATAAGCTTCCTGAATTATTCCTCATTATTCTGTATGTCTGTGCATACATATGTGCACATGCGTGTGTGTATATGTGTGTGGTAGAACTGAGCCTCTTACTGTCACTCAAAGCTGGTGCTCTACCACTCTACTTGTACCACTTGAGCCATAATTTCATTTCCAGTCTTTTGGTGGTCAATTGGAGATAAGAGTCTCACAGACTTTTCTGCCTGGTATGGCCTTAAACTGTTATCCTCACATCTCAGCCTTTTGAGTAGCTGGGATTATGGATGTGAGCCATCAGCACCTGTCTGCATTCTCTAATTTCTATGAACTTAGTCCAATTGTATTTAGGTTTCCAAATGTATAAGGAATGATATCTTAGCCCTACAAGGAAATCTGTAGGAGGCACAGATTGTAATAATCCTTTGAACCCAAGGGAAGTGAAGAGTTTCCTGAGCATTTTCTGATGGAAAAAAAAAAAGTCAAAATCTGGACCTGAAGATAGGTGAAGGTGACGTTTTGAATACAGTTACATGCGACAATGCACAGGTTCATATTGCTTAAATATTATAGCACTGAGAAAATAATTAGCTTTGAAGTCACATATATCAAATGAATGTTTTACAAATAAGAAGGATGTTTGGTAGTATTGGAATGCAGAATAGAGTGGTGAGCATAGAGATTTCAAAGCACAAGTGAAAACAAGGCAAAAAGGTAAGATCGCGACTGTGCCAAACTTCATTTTGTCTAACCAATTTCTTCTAAGTGTTCTCACTGCTCAGTAATCTTCCTCCCCTTTCACCTGTGACAACACCTGCTGGATCTGTCCTCAGTGATAAGTCCCCACTCATGAGCAAGGATTACAATTTCAGATCTTTAAGGCAGATGGAGTTCAATAGGAATGGCAAGTAAGGCTGTGCTTGGAATGCTTTTTGTTTTGTTTTGTTTTGTCTTGTGCCAGTTAGTCTTGGAGCATGAACTCAGGGCCTGTGTACTGTCCCTGAGCTGCTTTTGCTAAAGGCTATCACTCTACCATTTGAGCCACAGTACCACTTCCAGCTTTTTTTTTTTTTATTAGAGATAAGAGTCTCACAGACTTTCTTGTCCGGGCTGGTTTTGAACTGTGATCTGCAGATCTCAGGCTCTTGAATAGCTAGGATTGCATGTGTGAGCTACCAGCATCTAGCTAGAATGCTTTTTTTTGTTTGTTTGTTTGGTTTTTTTTTTGGTCAGTCGTGGGGCTTGAACTCTGGGCCTGGGCGTTGTCCCTCAGCTCTCCAGCTCAAGGCAAGCGCTTTACCACTTGAGCTACAGCGCCACTTCTGGTTTTTTGGTGGTTTATTGGAGATAGGAGTCTCACGGTCTCTCCTGCCCGGGCTGGCTTTGAACTGTGATCCTCAGATCCTCAGATCTCAGCCTCGTGAGTAGCTAGGATTACAGGCGTGAGCCACCAGCACCCGGCTTAGCTAGAATGCTTTTTATAGGCTGGATATGTCCCTGATGATTTCAAAATGGCTTTTAAATTTACTATTTTAATTTTTCAAATGATGATACTAGTTGTCTCTTGACTGCATTAATCTTTTAAAACAATAGTCTTTTTTGGTGATACTGGGAGTTAAATTCAAGGCCTCACAATTGCCAGGCAAATGCTCTACCCCACTCCTGTTCGTTTGCTTGTTTATGCTTCTGATACAGAGTTCCTGCTAACTGTGATGCTCTTTCTGTGTCCCCTTCCTGAGGAGCTGGAATGATAGATTTGCACTACTATGCTTGGCCACAACTCTTGCTCCTAATCTATCAAAGTTATCTTCCTTTGAAAATTTTCTTTCTCTTATTTCCTTTATTCAGTTCCATAGTTCACTGAGCTTTTTACTTTCTCCCCCTGCCACCCTCACTTCCTGTCTTAAAGTATTTTCAAATGCATAGTCTAGATTTCAGTGACTTCTGCGCTAAAATCTTTCACTTCCTGCTCTGCTTTTTTAGTTTGAGTGGAAAGTTAGCTTCTTAAAAATGTGTAATAATTTTCTGGGCACTGGTGGCTCAGACCTGTAATCCTAGCTACCAAGGAAGCTCAGATCTGAAGATCACAGTTAGAAGCCAGCCCAGGCAAGACAGTCCATGAGTCTCTTAAGAATCTCCAATTAAACCAGGCACTGGTGATTCACATCTATAATCCTAGCTACACAGGAGGGTGAGTTCTGAGGATCATGGTTCAAAGCCAGCTCAGGCAGTAAAGTCCATGAGACTCTTTTTTTTTGGAGGGGGGGCCGGTCGTGGGGCCTGAACTCTGGTCCTGGGTGCTGTCCCTCAGCTCTTCAGCTCAAGGCTAGCACTCTACCACTTGAGCCACAGCACCATTTTTTGCTTATGTGGTGCTGAGGAATCAAACCCAGGGCCTCATGCACACAAGGCAAGCGCTCTATCACTGAGCCACCTTCCCAGCCCATCCATGAGACTCTTATCTCTAATTAACCATTAGCAAACCAGAAGTGGCACTGTAGCTCAAAGTGGTAGAGTGCTACCCTTGAGCAAAAGAGCTTGTGGATAAGTCCCAGACCAACTTCAAACCCAATGACCACAAACACCAACAAAAAAGAATCTCCAATCTAGAAGTGAAGTTGTGACTCAAGTGGTAGAGTACCAGCCTTGAACAAAAAAGTTTAGGGACACACATCCACAAATCAGCCAATGACAAATTCTGGAGGGGATGTGGAGAAAACATTCTATTACACTGCTGGTGGGAATGTACACTTATACAACCACTTTGGAAAGCAGTCTGGAGGGTCCTTAGAAAGCTAAAGATTGACCTCCCTTACGACCCAGTCATACCACTTCTAGGCATCTACCCTGAACAACAGGAACCAATATACAAGGACACGTGTACCTCCATGTTTATTGCAGCACTGTTCACAATAGCTAGGATATGGAAACAACCCAGATGCCCCACCACAGATGAATGGATCCAAAAAGTGTATCTATACACAATGGAATATTATGCAGCCATTAGAAATGACAAAATAATGGCATTTGCAGGGAAATGGATGGAGCTAGAAGGAATAATGTTGAGCTAGGTAAGCCAAGAGCAAAGAGACAAACAAACGGTACATGGTCTTCCTGATAAGTGGATGTTAAATCCAAAATGTTAGGTGATACAACAAAACTAACAGGACTTAAGAAACAAAGAACTCTCACTCATCTATCTGGTCGAACCTCTTTGTGTCTTAGGAAAATTGGGACCGTTGGTGAATGGCTACCCTCATAACTGAACAGAAAGGAAACTGAAAGTCAGACGCTGGTGGCTCACTCTTGTTATCCCAGTTAGTCAGGAGGTTGAGATCTGAGGATTGCGGTTCCAGGCCCTCTTGGGCAGAAAAGTTCCTTGAGACTCTTATCTCCAATTATTCACTAGAAAACCAGAAGTGGTACTGTGGCTCAAGCAGTAGAGCGTTCACCTTAAGCTGAAGAGCTCGAGGATAGTGCCCAAGCCCAGAGATCCACCCCCACGACCACCTATAACAACAACAACAAAAATCACACCTTCAATCTGATGGCTTCACCCAGCCAATCCCAATACATCCAGGAGGTCCTGAGAGTTTTACTCAACTATAGTCTTCAGGTTAGTTTATTCCTTTCCATGCCCAGTGTCACACAAGATAGCAAATACTAATTTCATTAGCCCCATTTTGGCTAATAGACTGATGAGTCTATTGCTTTGATTTGGAACATTTTAGATGTAGACTCAGTATCTCCCAATAAATGGATCAATAAGCTGTAGGCATGGAACAATGAGTATCTCAATAAAAGTGAAACCATGGGGCTGGAAAGGTGGCTCAGTGGTAGAGTGCTTGCCTTGCAAGCATGAGGCCCTGGGTTCGATTCCTCAGCAGCACATAAGCAGAAAAAGCCAGAAGTGGGGCTGAGGCTCAAGTGGCAGAGCGCTAGCCTTGAGCTGAAGAGCTGAGGGACAGTGCCCAGTCCCAGAGTTCAGGCCCCACGACTGACCAAAAAAAAAAAAAGTGAAACCAATGTTTCAATCCTTTCAGCTGTAGGATCAACAACATGCAGAGAAATTCTTGCTCCCTGGTGGTGGAACCATATCAACCAGACCTTGTTATCGATATAGGAAAAATAACTCTGGGTGAAACAAACAGAAACAATTTGCAAGGAAATCAGAAACAGCAGGAGAAGGAGACACTTTTACAGGCTGCGTGTGCTCTGTTAAACTCCGGAGGAGGAGTGATTCGGATGGAAATGACAGAAGAGGTTGAACATGCTGGGGAGCTGGGACTGGACCTGGAAAACGCCTTGAGAGAGCTTATTCAGTCTTTAGATTTGGAGACTTTCTTTGAAACTAAGCAATACAGGGCATATTTTTACATTTTTGTTAAATCATGGAGCAGTGGCTCTTCAGATGGTTCCTTTATGGCCAGAATTTGTAGTCTGAGTCCTTCGTTGTACCGTAGATCTGGTACCTCTAAGTGGCCCATGGACTCAAGAGCTGCATTTGATTTCCTGAAGACTAAGAAAGAGAGAGCAAAACAAAGTATTGTCCACACACTGAATGAAGAATCTTCATCCAGTAAAACTCTAAGAGTTACAGAGCGGGACATCTCTGAACCAAATTCTGCTTTCCATGTTTTCCAAAAAGACTGGCTTGCATTCCAGGAAACTCTGTCTTTTCCTGAGTCTCAAACAGTAGAGTTTAAACAGTTCTCCACAAAACACATCCAGGAATATGTAAAAAACATAATTCCGGAGTACATCTCTGCATTTGCCAACACTGGGGGAGGCTATCTTTTTATTGGAGTGGATGACAAGACCAAGAAAGTCTTGGGATGCTCAAAAGACAAGGTTGATCCTGTCTCTTTAAAAACAGTGATAGATAAAGAAATTTCCAAGTTACCTATTTTCCATTTCTGCTCTTCAAATGCACCAGTATCCTATGAGACCAAGGTCATAGAAGTGCGTATAGTGAGTGAGCTGTATGGTTATGTCTGTGTGCTAAAAGTAGAGCCATTCTGCTGTGTGGTATTCTCAAGAGCTCCCAGTTCATGGATGGTGGAGGAGAGGAAGGGCATCTATCCCCTGACAACTGAAGAATGGGTAAGAAGGATGATGGATACTGACCCAGGTAAGAGGCAGAAAGCAGCACCTACCTCTCTATCCTACCTCTTGGGCTCTCCGGTGTCCTTCATTCTCTGTGGCCTTGAGCTCTTTGTGCCCATTGAAATTTCCTTTCTCTGTATTCCCAAGGTTCTTATATACAGGAAAGTTTCACTGGGTGAGAAAAAGCCAACATCAAATATTTTTATGAATGATGATTTTCCACAAAAGAAGAAGTAAAGGAAACTCATATGGAAACAGATTTTTGTCTATTGTTTAAAATCGTTGAATGCAAATTTGCTAGAGCTTCATAATAATGATGACTTTTGACCTCAGGTTAAAATGAGCCCAGATGTGGGAGACAAGAGCCAACACTGGGAGAGGTATATTTCAGTTGGATTTCTGGGGTGGGGGGATTTAAATCACCCAGTAATTAGAATTTAAGGTGAACATTTTAAACTCCACTCTGCTTAAACAAAGCTATTCTAACATAGAAAAGGGAGCATTAAACTGAATGAGGAATCACAGTTCTATATTGGAAAGAAAGAATCAGATGTGGTGGTACACATTTGGAATCCCAGCACTCAGGAGGTAATAAGAAAACTGGGACATGAGGGTATCAGAATAAAGCAAGGACAGAAAGCAAACTCAACAGACCAACTTTATTTGGGAGTGAAGCCTGGGAAGGGCGACCAAGTCTCCTTCAGCCTGGCTGAAGGGGAAATGGTACTTCCCCCCTCCCTTTATAACTAGGGCTCTTTAAATATTAGGCAGAAAGTGTGAAGTCAGGTGGGATAGACGGAAGCCAGGGTTGGGTGGGAGAGCAATTTTGACTGAGGAGTTTCAAGGTCCTAATAACATCTGTGTTTGTCAGGGGCATCAGTGTCAGATGTGGCCCAAGTTTCAGGCTCTCTTCCAAGAATACTGGATATATTTGTTGAAGGTGAAGCTTTGGTGGTAAGCTTGACAAAGAAAGGAAGAAGTGTCTGGCTTATTGGCCAGGTTAAATTCTGTGTCAAGGGTTAGTTGTTTTCTTCTTTCAGAGTTGCCTGAAGCTTTTGAATCCCAGCTGAGTCTGTCTGACAGTCCTCCAAGCTGCAGACCGGTGTATTCCAAGAAAGGTCTGAAACATAAATGTGATCTCCAACAGTATTTCTTTCCAGGTACGAGTGGCCAGTTTTTATTTAGGAGAAAGAGATAATTTAATACTTTTGGTTAAAAAGAAATCCATAGAAAATTGTGTACTGTAACTCCAAGTGAGTAAAAGAATATACACATGTACAAAGCAACATCCAGAACTGGGCGCCGGTGACTCACACCTAACTACTCAGGGCCTGGGTGCTGTCCCTTAGCTTTTTCACTCAGGGCTGAGCTTTACCACTTAAGCCACAGCTCCACTTCTGGCATTTGGTTAATTGGAGATAAGAATTCTGTAGACTTTGCTGCCTGGGCAAGCTTCAAACTGTAATAATCCTCACATCCCAGCCTCCTGAGTAGCGAGAGTACAAGAGTGATCTACTGGCACCTAACACTTGTCAGAAAGATTTTTTGTTGGTGTTGGTCATGGGGCTTGAACTCTGGGCCTGGTCACTGTCCTCAAGGTGAGCACTCTACCACTGTACTACTTCCGGTTTTCTGGAAGTTTATTGGAGATAAGAGTTTCATGGATGTTCCTGCCCCAGCTGGCTTTGAACTGTGATCCTCAGATCTCAATTTCTTTTTTGTCGGTCAAGGGGCCTGAACTCTGGGCCTGGGTGCTGTCCCTCAGCAATTCAGCTGTAGACTAGCACTCTACCACTTGAGCCTCAGCCCCACTTCTGGCTTTTTCTGCTTATGTGCTGCTGAAGAATTGAACCCAGGGCCTCATACATGCAAAGCAAGCACTCTACCACTGAGCCACTTTCCCAGCCCCAGATCTCAATTTCTGAGTAGCAAGGATTACAGGCGTGAGCCACCAGCAATATCAGAAAGATTTTTAAACATTACTCTGTAAGACTCTGAGATGCAATAGTAACTGTCATACGTATTTTCCACTTCCTTCAGCTCAATAAATTCCATATTAGTTGGAATACTCTGACCTCCATAAGATAACAGAAGAGAATTGCTTCAACCCCCCAATAAGTTTGCCCAGGGCTTGTCTGGTCCTGGGAAGATACTCATGGCCACTGATATGGGTAAAAGACAGGATCACAGGGTGAAGGGTAAGGGGAAGTCTCTTAGATTGTATTATCTTAGATTGCTTAATCTTCCCTCTTAAATGTAATATGTGATTCATAGAAAGTAATACTAACACATCTTTCAAATCTTCTCTTTGATTACCCCATCTAGTGAGGCCAAAACAAGAAAAAATCAGACATTCTCCTGAAGCCCTCTGGGAGGAGCTGTGCAAAGAACATGAAGGACTGGAGGAATTAATAGGCCAGCAACTTTCTCCTTCCACCTGGGGAATTCTGATAGTCTCGAGAAGCTGGGCTGTGGACTTGGGCTTGCAAGAGAGGCAGGGAGTCATCTGTGATGTGCTTCTCATTGCACACAACAATCCCCCCATACTCTTCACCATTCTCAGGGAGCAAGAAGCAGGTGGACAGGACTACTGCACCTACACTGCCTTTACACTGAAGCAGAAGCTGGTGAACATGGGTGGCTATACCGGGAAGCTGTGTGTCATGGCCAAGGTTCTCTACCTGAGTCCACAGAGCAATGCAGAGTCAGTGGAGGTGTCAGAATCTCTAATAGATTACCCCCTGTCCTATAACCTAGCAGATGCCCAGCAAATGGAAGCCTTGCTGCAGGCCCTTGTGATTGTCTTGCTCAGCTTTCCATCTTTCCTGAGTGACCAACTTGGCTGTAAGGTATTAAACTTGCTCACAGCCCAACAGTATAAGATTTTCTCTAAAAACCTCCGCAAGAACAGGGAATTGTTTATCCATGGCTTGCCTGGCTCAGGAAAGACAGTCATGGCCATAAAGATCATAGAAAAGATCAAGAATGTGTTTCACTGTAAGTCAAATCAAATTCTCTACATTTGTGAAAACCAGCCTTTGAAGAACTTAATCAGGTAAGATATTGGCTCTACACCTAGTTATGGTACGCAATCTGGGTTGAACTTTTTTCTGCTAAATCTTCCCTGTCCTCCCCCCACCCACTTTTTGTGTATATGTAGATGTTGGGGCTTGAACTCTGGGTCTGGTTGCTGTCCATTAACATTTTTGTCAAAACAGACATCTTGCCACTTGAGCCATGGCTGTACTTCCTGTTAAGTCCCCTTGATCATTAAGAATGGAGTGGTAATATGACTGAGAGAACACTACTGCATTCCAGGGAGCAGGTCACAGGGATTTTCTCTCTTTATTTAGTTCCATCAAACCTGAGTGTGTCATTTTAACTGTTTTAGTGCAAAAAAAATTTGCCAGGCAGTGACAAGAAAGACCTTCATGAAGAATATCTATGAAGAAATCGAACACATCATCATTGATGAAGCTCAGAATTTCCGCACTGAAAATGGTCCATGGTACAGGAAGGCAAAAAACATCACTCGGAGAAAAAAGGATTGTCCAGGAATTCTCTGGATCTTTCTGGACTACTTTCAGACGAGTCACTTGTGTGATAGTGGCCTTCCATCCTTCAGAGCCCAGTATCCAAGAGAGAAACTCAGCAGAGTGGTTCGCAATGCAGATGTGATAGCCCACTACCTACAAGAGATAATGCAGAACATCAGAAAAAATCCTCCAACCAATATCCCCTGTGAATCCCTGCAGATGTTTCTTAAAGTTGAAGGGGTTCAGGGTGTTCCAGGCAACTTAAAGATTGAACACTTGGACTTAGAGAACATGGTGAATTATGTGTCAATGAAGTATAAGGATTTCTTGAAGAATGGCTATTCTCCCAAAGACATTGCTGTGCTTTTCAGCACAGCAAATGAAGTGGAGATATATAAAAATATGTTTTTAAAAGAAATGAAGAAGAGAACAATTTCTCAGACCAATGATGCATCCACATCTGCCAGTCCCATATTTGATAGTATCCGTAGATTCTCAGGCCTAGAAAGAAACATTGTGTTTGGGATCAATTCTTCGGCAACTGAGCCAGCTATTTACTACAATCTTCTGCTCTGTCTGGCTTCCAGGGCAAATCAACATCTGTATATTCTGAACCTTATTGATTTCAATCCTGAGCTCAAGATATAATAGAGGCAAAATAGTTGGTCTAGGGCTGGGAAGGTGGCTCAGTGGTAGAGTGCTTGCCTTGCATGCATGAGGCCCTGGGTTCGATTCCTCAGCACCACATAAGCAAAAAGAAAAAAGC